GACACTCTCTGACGCCCTCTCTCTCTCTCTCTCTCTCTCTCTCTCTCTCTCTCTCTCTCTCTCTCTCTCTCTCTCTCTCTCTCTCTCTCTCTCTCGGCGCCCTGGCCAATTTGGCCAAGGCTGCGAATGACCCGGGACTGTGGAAACTGCTGAATCTGATGAAGTATGCCAACCAGATACGGCGGATGATGGGTTGAAAAAGAATTCGGAAGAACCCGGGCAATCGACAGGGGTACAGTGCCCGGAGGTACACTAGTTCGTTAGTCAGCCGTTTATTTATTTATCTATTTATTCAATTGTTTATGTTCTTGGTCGCTCGAACGTTCTGTCAGTACTCCCAGGGTGTACCGACCTGGATTTTGTGTTTTGATACAGACTTCGGAGATATACACCGGACCACTAGGCATGCCGGGTGTAATAGTCGGTTATAGGATTTTGAAATAAGAATTAGTTCGAGAATGCACCGGACCACTAGGCATGCCGGGTGCAGTAGATGATAGAATAGGAGTATGATAATGTGTTCTGTATTTTGTCTAGGAACCGGACCCGGTAATCGGACAGGTACCAGCATGAGTACCTGGGGAGAAAAAAAAACCGACGTTTCGAGTTTTCGACCGATACGGAAGATCGGCGACCTGCGCGCTACTATATTTGCTTCTTGTGGGCCCACTCACCAGACTCTTGAGGCGGAAGGATAGGAAGGGAACTTTGATAGAGCACGACGTCAGTTATGAGCTACTATGAGCTATATATACTAGGGGGAGCAAGGCCAGTAGCTCCCTTTTTGGCACACGAACTCTGCTGAGTTCACCCTCCTGAGGAGACCCGTATAGTGGTACGGGCGAAACCGGTTGGGGGATTCCACTAGTGCTGCGCTATGGTGGTGACGATGTGTGTGTATGTTTTCTGGCATCTGAATCAATTTTCGAGTTTGAGCTATCTGTGCTTCGTGCTTATCTCTGAACTTGCATTCCGATTTTATCAGTTTTTTCGAGTTTGAGCTTCGCTCTGAACTTGCATTCTGGTTGCTATGTCAGTTGACTACTCACTATCTTGCCACGAGAGCTGTTTGGCCGCAATTCTGCCTTACTCGTAGGCACGTAGTAACCGAAAGCTGTATATGTTAGTTTGGTGGCTACGACGACGATACGAGAGAGAGAAAGATGATTCCTGCACAAGCGTAACACAAGTTTGGCTCGATCCTGTCCGGCGGTTGTGGAAGCCACGACGAGGATGGGATAACGTAGGTAAGGGGAGGAGAACTTGGAGAATGAGAAATGAGCGGTACGAACTAAGTTTACTTGGATACAGGCGATAGGCTTGAAGCGTAGATTTGACGTGACATGGGACGGGGGAAGGCTATGGTGAGAACTATCTTCTTTGGGATTGGACTGATGATAAGCGTAAATTTGACGTGACATGGGACGGGGGAAGGCTATGGTGAGAACTATCTTCTTTGGGATTTAACTAATGATAATAGGGGCAGGACTTATAGTTCTCGGTGTTGCACTGTGACTCTCTGGACGTTGATAATGCCGACCCACTGTAGAAGATGCGGTTTCAGACGTCTTTCCAACGTCCGTGCTGTGCCGCTTCATATAAGGTTGAGGAGAACGTTGAATCGGTATGTAAAAACGACGATCAGACCGATGTTCTACATGACTATTTGTGTCGAGAATATTCAAATTCGTGACAAACTTTATGACGAGCTGCTTGAAACGTTAGTACGCATTGACAGAACGAAGATTACGATGAGGGAGGGCTACGTTAATTATGAGGAGATTGCCGAAATCTGGAGACAATGATAACTAGATGCCACGATTTCACCCGCCAAACGAGGATTAAAGGTAGTTTGAACACTTGAGGCAATTATCGACGGTTTATTATTGGTGAACCTACTGTCTAAATGAAGATTAGATCTAGTTGGACCACTTGAGGCAATTGTTGGCGGATTATATTGTCGGACCTACAGTCACGACAGCAGTAGGATTAACGGGGGGGGTTTGTCGGGAAGACCCTGCTACGGGTTTTTTGAAAATTCTTCCATCATGTATCTGACTAACGGACCTGCGGGCGGAAACGGTAACGGGTACGGTGGTGGAAACTATAATGGAGGAATGGGAAACCTTACCCCTCAAGGGGGCCAAGGAGGAGCTGGCGGTGCTTTGCCAGGCACATCGAATAGCGGCTGCTACAATTGCGGCAAGCTCAGGCACTACGCCCGCGATTGCTGGACGAGCCGAGGGCATTTTAACCAGCAGAACCAGAATACGATCGACCCCGAACTCGAGGAAATTAAAGAGCATCATAGGCAATTACGGAGGGAGAGGCAGGAACTGGAAGAGAAGCGGAAAGCAGAGGAGGAGAAGAAGGCAAGAGAAGAAGATGAGCTACGACAGAACCAAGACTTCGCTAGGAAGATGGAAGAGCTCAAACTGCAACTGCTGATGGACCTAAACGAAGAATGGAAGAAAAAGAATCAAGAGGCAGAGCTGGCTTTGAAGAATGCAACCGTGAAGACTAGACGTCATTCTGCGAAAGATCGAAAATCCAGGAAAAATAAGAGGAAAGGCAAGAAGACAAGAAGGCAGAGATATTCTGGATCTTCTGAGACCTCGGACTTGACGACAACAACGGATTCCGGAACATCCTAAGCCTCAACGGATTCAGAGGAAGCACCAGTCCGGGATAAGGCGCGCAGAGCGAAGGTAAGTAGGAGAGGAACCAAAGCAAAGGCCGGTAAGGTTAAGGAGAAGGTTGCAGTCTCGCCAGTCAACCTCATTCCTAGATTCGAAAGAGGTGAATGTTCGAAGCATGGTAATGCCCGATGCGGGGAGACACCACCGGGGGCCGACGGAGCGGAACGAGTGGAAGGAACAGAGGAACCGAAGACTCCTCTAACGGGCGGATATAAAGGACTTTCAACTAGCTGCTCTCAAAAAGGACTCATCGATTATTGCATCTCCGCTCACAAGATCTACTCAGGAGAGAGCGCTCCAGATTTGAGGAAGATTTGCGACAAGAAAGGCATTAAGTACACTAAGAAGCCCGAGGTAGTGGAACTACTGGCAAGGCAACAAGTACAGTTGGCCTACGATGGCTTCGAAGAAAAAGAGGAGGACGAGAGCGCCACCAGAAAAGGGAAAGCACCACTAACACCTGGAGCTGAGATGAGGAAGGACAGGATTGTGCAGGAACAAAGGAGCGCAAGACAGCCACGAGTCGTCTTGAAATCAGCACCGACATTACCATAGGAGGACTCCAATTGACAGTTCCCGGCTCCCACGAATGCCCAACTTTGGAACTCATTGGTTTTGTGGTTAGGACGGCGCACAGCATTGTGGGAGCAGAAGCTAGTCCAGAGGTGAGTAGGAAGGTTGAAGTAGTGATATCACTCACTACGATCTTGCTCACGATTAGGGGACAGATCCCTTGGTTGGAGAAGTATTTCGCTAGGACCGAGAGGTTGGGAGACTTGTTGGAGCTTAACTCACCAGGAGTCTACGCTGTAGTTAGCCCTTGGAATAGGAAGAGCTACGTCGGATGTACGGTTCATCCGATAATCCAGAGATGGCGGGAGCACTGCCGGAATGCACGTTGCAATGCGCTGGGCCTGACGCCTCACCTCTACAGATGGATGAGGGCGTTTGGCCCAGAAAAATACGTTATCCTACCAATCCGGCACGCCGTCAAGGAGGACGACTACGGCACGCCGTCAAGGAGGACGACTACGCTTTCGAGAGCTTCATGATCGCCGACCTGAATCCGAGCTCGAACACGAGGGAAGCTAGGAAGCAGGACGGCAGAGCACACCGTAGAAGGAGAAAAGGAAGGCGCGAAAGGATAGGAAGATCCACAAGGGCTAAAGTGAAGGAGACAGTTGTTTGTGAATATCAGGGGACACGTTTTGCTTCCCTGATAGGATGGCTGTTGTCGAAACGAGAGATGGGAGGAAGAACTGGTACTGTGTTGTTCAGTAAGGGAGATATATGGATCGATAGCTGGAGGCGAATTAGGAGGACATTCGGTGAAACTAGGCTACTAATCGGTGGAAAGACATTGTTACTTAAGCATGCGAAGCAGGTCTCCAGAGAGGTGGACCCGCAGGGTTCCTCGAAGTTGTAAAAACCAAGACCACCACCGAGAAGCATAAGCAAATGCTAGCAGAGCTACTACGTAGACCTCGACCGACATCTCAGTTGGCTAACCTTACCACTAATAAGTTAGTGGGCTTGTATCGAACAGCAGGACTCTTTGCGGAGAAGAAGACCAAGCTTTCGCTGAGGATGAAGATCGACAAGGCCATTCGGTGCAAGGCAGGGGTCGGTGTGAGGAAGAGGATTAACGTGAAACTGCGCTTCGACTCATGCATTAAGAAGAGCAGCATACGCAAGATGGCAGAGGACGTGATTGAGGCAAGGGTGACCGATAGAGCGGTGGCTAAGTTCCTGAGAACCAGGATCCGCATAATTTGGACGAGAAATAGGACGGTAGGTGAGGTGTTGCACAACCAGAAGAGATTTGCATCCGATAATGTGCAGGTTTGCAGATGTCGGGACCTCAATCTGCCAAGATGCGATGGGCACGTGGTGACCAGACTATCGGAACTACCGCACGCACCAAGCTTCGTGAAAAACTCGAAGAACATTACGAGACCGGCGGCTAGAAGAGCAGAACCTCATGCCCTGATGAGGGCCGTTCAGGAGGCTACTAGATTCCTGGGCGGCACTACTCCGGTGTTAACTGTACCGGAGGATGCATACGACGGTAGGCGCCATCAGTCAACCGCTTGGACGACAGATGAAGTGAAGACGTGGGCTTCGCAGTTTGAGGATCTGGTGATGACACCGATTGACCGGAATCAAGGAGATACGACTTTAATCTGCCCGGTCATTTATAGACATGCTTTCGGAAAGGTATTTCTTTGGAATACCAACTACGAGGCAGTTGGAACGGGGGAAGATGAGCCGGCGAACATGGCGAAAAGCAAGAAAGACTTTATCGACATTGGGCTTCGGAAGCTCGGACCATGGAGACCGGGTGGCAGAATGGGAACGGCTTACGTTATTCCGAAGCATAAGGATCTGGGGAGATGGCGGCCTATCGCGCCATCTCCTTCGGATCCCGCAGCGGTAGCACAAAGAAGAGTGGCCCGAGCGCTGCACTACCTGCTGATAAGATTGTCGGCATGAGATACCTTCTTTCTCAACTCGGTGGCAGAGCTGCGTGATCGTATGTTAGCGACTACCCAGAGGTTGAGCACACTGGGCTGCAATCGAGTAGTGGGCAGATGCTATGATATTAAACAAATGTTCTCACGGATCCCACATAACGCTGTGATGAACGCGGTAGAAAGGCTCCTATGTTTATTCGAGAATGCGGGATGGAGGACGGTTAAGGTTTCTTTCAGAGCAAAAGACTGTACGATCAGCAAAACCAAGAGGAAAACTGAGGGTTATGTTAGCATAGACTTCCGACAGCTGTTAGTAGGGGTCAGGTACGATCTCCAACACTCGATTGTCAGGTGCGGGAACAAGTTGATGAGGCAAGTATTCGGAATTCCGATGGGGAAGTCCACTAGCCCTATCTTGGCATCGATCACGTGTGCTATGGCCGAACTCCAGTTCCTCAAGGGACTCGGCCTCGACAGAAGATTGGTAAGCGGGTGGAGAATTATGGACGATATCTCCGTGGTGGCGGGCTTACCTGAGGCGATCCCGGACGAAAATTACCCCGAGAACTTCTTCAAGATGTTTGAAGAAATTTATGATTCCAACCTGGAAATTATCCAGAAGGACGAATGCAGCCTAACCTGACAGTTTATAGGTGGTGAGATGTTCCTCTGCAACACACCACTTAGCTTGCACTTTGTACCGCACACGAAGAACACAGACTCGCTTACGCAGTCTGGAAGACTGAAATACCAGACGATGCAGGACTTCAATTCGTATTCCGCAAAGAACGTGAAGAAGGCCACTCTCACGGCAACAATCAGGAGACTGTGGGAACACACTACAAGTACTCCACTGGTGACGGGCGCCGTGACTTGCGCTATAATCGAAGCAAACCTCCGGGGCTACCCCCCGGAGGTCTCTCTCGGCGCCCTGGCCAATTTGGCCAAGGCTGCGAATGACCCGGAACTGTGGAGACTGCTGAATCTGATGAAGTATGCCAACCAGATACAGCGGATGATGGGTTGAAAAATAATTCGGAAGAACCCGGGCAATCGACAGGGGTGCAGTGCCCGGAGGTACACTAGTTCGTTAGTCAGCCATTTATTTATTTATCTATTTATTCAATTGTTTATTTTCTTGGTCGCTCGAACGTTCTGTCAGTACTCCCAGGGTGTACCGACCTGGATTTTGTGTTTTTATACAGACTTCGGAGATATACACCGGACCACTAGGCATGCCGGGTGTAATAGTCGGTTATAGGATTTTGAAATAAGAATTAGTTCGAGAATGCACCGGACCACTAGGCATGCCGGGTGCAGTAGATGATAGAATAGGAGTATGATAATGTGTTCTGTATTTTGTCTAGGAACCGGACCCGGTAATCGGACAGGTACCAGCATGAGTACCTGGGGAGAAAAAAAAACCGACGTTTCGAGTTTTCGACCGATACGGAAGATCGGCGACCTGCGCGCTACTATATTTGCTTCTTGTGGGCCCACTCACCAGACTCTTGAGGCGGAAGGATAGGAAGGGAACTTTGATAGAGCACGACGTCAGTTATGAGCTACTATGAGCTATATATACTAGGGGGAGCAAGGCCAGTAGCTCCCTTTTTGGCACACGAACTCTGCTGAGTTCACCCTCCTGAGGAGACCCGTATAGTGGTACGGGCGAAACCGGTTGGGGGATTCCACTAGTGCTGCGCTATGGTGGTGACGATGTGTGTGTATGTTTTCTGGCATCTGAATCAATTTTCGAGTTTGAGCTATCTGTGCTTCGTGCTTATCTCTGAACTTGCATTCYGATTTTATCAGTTTTTTCGAGTTTGAGCTTCGCTCTGAACTTGCATTCTGGTTGCTATGTCAGTTGACTACTCACTATCTTGCCACGAGAGCTGTTTGGCCGCAGTTCTTCCTTACTGCCTTACTCTGTGTGTGTGTGTGTGTGTGTGTGTGTGTGTGTGTTTGTGAACCTCCCAGATTTCATTCTCGTTGGGCATGTCTGATTTCCATGGCTTTTTTTTTTTTGGGCGAAGTACTCCTGTGTCACACCTGTAGTTCAGAAAGGGCAAAAAAAACACAGTTCGGCAGGTTCCTGTCCTTCCCAGTTCATAAAGGCAAAAAAAAACATCAGGCGGTGCTCCCTACACATGACAAGTTAGAAAGGGGCAGTTTCCTAAGGAAAAAAAAAAAAAAAAAACAGAAAGGGGCAGTTTCCTCATTTTGAGGACCAGGTACCAAGGCGGTCCATCTCAGTTGGGATAAAGGGTCCGAGGACAGAGTAGCACCCACCGCCGCCACGGGGCCACGTTCCACAAGTAGCATATAGTTTTCTCAACGCCCTCATCTGGACGTGTTTGTGGAGATGTGGGGTTGAAGAAATTCAATGTCATTTTTTTTCTGCACTTCTGCACCCACACGTCCAGCTTCGAGCGTCGAGAAAGCACGAAGCTGCTGGTGGGACTTGGCATCCAGTGCTATGAAGCCCGTGCAAACAGGTTGCAAATTCCATTACTGGTGGGCTGCATGGGCGAACTCGAAACAGGGGGCAAATTTGTCCGCGCCGGAGGGAGACACACACACACACACACACACACACACAGAGAGAGAGAGAGAGAGAGAGAGAGAGAGAGAGAGAGAGAGAGAGAGAGAGAGAGAGAGNAGAGAGAGAGAGAGAGAGAGAGAGAGAGAGAGAGAGAGAGAGAGAGAGAGAGAGAGAGTATGGCATCCGTAGCTACCATCCTCCCCCAACATAACGCACATGGTTGCTATGTCAATGACCCTCGTTTTGCCTGTACCTGACCGGAAAGATGGCTTCTATACATTCATTATCAGGGACTACCGTCCTCCCCCCCATATGGCACCTGAATAATGAATGTATACAACCTATGTTCCGGGTCCGGTACAGGCAGAATAAGGGTCACCGTACTAGGCTACTACTCTCTCTCTCTCTCTCTCTCTCTCTCTCTCTCTCTCTCTCTCTCTCTCTCTCTCTCTCTCTCTCTCCACGTCCGTGTGGGACAAATTTGCACCGGTACACAGGCATGTCGGGGACCCTCATGTTGCCTGTACCCGACAGGAAAGATGGCATGTATAGGGGTACAGGCAACATGACAATGGTCACACTGCTACTCTCTCTCTCTCTCTCTCTCTCTCTCTCTCTCTCTCTCTCTGTGTGTGTGTGTGTGTGTGTGTGTGTGTGTCCACGTCTGCGCGGGACAATTTCGGGCCCGGTTTCAAATTAGCCCGCGCGGTCCATGAAGAGAACCTGCACCCTCTCTACGGGCTGTGCCAAGTCCCACCAACAGTGTCGAGTTTTCTCTACACGCGAATCTGGACGTGCTGGTGAAGGTATGCAGAAACTTGGGTTGTATTTCCTCAACCTCTCATATCCACAAACACGTCCAGATACAGGGGTCGAGAAAACTCCACTCTGTGCTACTCTGTCCACAGGTCCTGGTGCTCCACAAAGGTCCCGGTTGGTAGGTCTACTAAGGTCCCGGTAGTTCGCTGTGCGGGACCCTGTTTTTCTACTGTGTTTGCCTCTAACGAACTACAGCGCTGATAGGGCTGCCACGTATAGTTTTTTTCGCCGTTTTGAACATCTCTGATGTTGAAATTGCGACGTGGTGTTTTTCCTGCCTATTTCAAACTGAAAGTGTGACACTGGAGCAGTTTCCTCTTTTTTTTTAATCAAAATGTTGTATGTTTTTTTGTGTTTTTTTCTTTTTTTTCTTTTTCCGTGATGTACTACCGGTTGTCCGAGGCTCGGGAATGATCAGGCTACCGGCTGTCCGAGCCTTGGATTGATAGTTGGGTGAGGTAGGATAGAAAACTTCGAGTCAGGAGGTGATAAGGGGGTCGCTCTCCAGAATCACCGCACATAAAATGGATGTCCTTGGAGACCCCGGTTAGGATCTTAGGGATATCCATGACCGCAGAGGGGCGCCCACCCCCAAATGACGAATGGATCTACGCCCCGGCACACCAAAGATTAAATAACTGGAATAACAAACACACATCCCTTTTCGGTAGAGCCTTAGTCCTCAACAATGTGGTCTTCGCGGCACTATGGTACAAATCGTTGTTGTGGCCACTAAGTAAAACAGCTTTGCGAAGCTTAAGGAAAAAGGCAGCAGCTTTCCTATGGAGAGGTAACGGTGATCAGAACAATGTAATAAGCCGTGTGGCATGGGACTCGATTATTCAACCAAAGTCTGGGGGAGGCTTGGGAATAATTGACCCAGCCACAGCTGCAAGCGCTACGGCTGAAATTGATCAAAAAGCTTATTTTCTCTCCCGAATGCCCGTGGTGTGTTTTAGCCCTGGAGCACTTGTCCCATTTGGCCCCTGAGACCCCCCAAACAAGACACCCCTTCACATGGCTGGAAGACCGGTTCTGGACAACCTCGCAAAAGCTCCCCCAAGGAAGGGGTTTTGTGAACAACGAAGGTCAGACAATTGACAACTTATGGCCATCCCTGCTAGAAACATGGCGCAAACTTCCGCTCCCGGACAGGATCTACCCGACCCGATGGGAGGAAGTCTATCGACAACCCCTCTTCGAAAATCGATGGGTGACTGATTCGAGAGGCTGTGTCATGGTGAGTTTCTCTTCGCTTGGAAAAGTTGGGTCAAGCGAGGGGTGCTCAAGTTTGGGGACCTCTGGGATAATGACTGAAGAGACTGGAAATCAGGAAACCACATGCGAGACACATTATGATATTGCCACCATATAGAAGAGTCTCTGGATGACCTAATTGAGGCTATTTCGTTGGCATGGTACCAAATCCTTAGACAGGGCCCCCTCTTAAAGGAGGGCGACTGGGTAGCCGATACAGAACACCCTCCAAGGATAGGCCTGATACATATGGTCTCCCCACAGACGGTCCTGGTCGAACATTACTCCACCACTAGATCCAAGGCTCTTCATGACAACAAAGCTCCTTTCGAATGGAAAGAGAAAACATCAGTATACCGGGTGAGAGTCGTAGAACAAAAGGGACAGAAGGTGGTCTTCCAGCCGACCAAACCAATCCAGGATCTGGTTTTGGACCCAACAGAATGGACATGGAAACTTCCCCATGGGAAGGGAGGCCAGATCAGCCTATTCCAACTGTCGATCAAATCAACCTACAAGATGCTCCGACC